CCCCAAAACCCCAAAACCCCACTAAAAGGCATAAAAACAAGTTTAAAAAGTTATAAATTTGATTAGAAAAATAAAATATCAATTAGGAGCACTACACTACTGGATATCTCCAAGAGAGGGATAAATTGTAACAAAGCTTTTATTTATTGCAAAATTTCCAGGATTAATAACATGAATAACTTTATCTTTATCATCCTCATCATTATAAACACCCAGACTGCTAGAATTCATGTTGTTTTGAGGGACCTTGATTTAGTGATGATACTCGGATATTTCATCACACAGGATTAGATAATCAGGATGAGGAACTAATTGCAGAGCATCAGCAAATGACCACATAACTGGTTGAACAATACTTGGCAGGGGAATTAAGTTTCCTTACTAAAGTAAAGTCTTTGCTATTTTATATGAATCTTAAGTATTATACTGCTCTTCATCTTCTGGCGGCTTGGAGGCTTTTGTTTTTTCTTGAGCAATCTAAATTTTAGGTAGTTAGTTTCTCTTGAGTTTTTTAAAGAAGTTATACCTGCAAAGTACTATTTCCTTGCCATAGTAATTTATCCTCATTGGATTGGTTCCCACCATCACATTTTTTATTCTCTAAGGCCCATTTCCCTTAAAAGTAGTTAGGAAGAATTCTTAGAATTATAGACAGGGCATAAGTTTTGGCTGGCCTAGATCCTCTGATGAAGGAACATAAATCCAATTGGTGAAATCTCTCAAGCAAGTCAATCCGTTTTCCCTAATAATAGTGCCAATTTACTCAAAGTAGTTCTTAAACTAGTCATAAGACAGCTTCTCTGAGATTTTCTAAGAGATGAAATCTCCAACCAAAATTATGATATCTGGCTTTAATTATTCCAAACCTTCAAACAGATCTTTTAAACATTTTTAAGTTCCAATATTGTCAAGTTCTACTTATGAAAATATGACAATGCAGTTATCCTTTTCTATTTTAGCTTCTTATCTAAGTTTAGATCCTGGCAATGATTGAGCCATGGACTCGGACAACCCTGAAATAGAGGAAGATGTTATCTAATCAGTTCCAGTTGCTAGCATAATCTTCTTCTTGGAATATCCGCCAAAGTAATCTTTCTCGTTTAGCTTGAAAGATAGAGATTTATTTGCATGAAGAGGTGGCTACTTAAGGTGAGTAAGATAGAAGGTCTCATTATGATAAATTCCACAGCACATTAAAATACAGTTCTCAGTGAAAAATACTTAGGGGTCTGCTTCAACCAGCTCTGAGAAAGAGACCTTTACTGAGTGTCTAGAATCTTCTAAGTAGTATTCACTATCTTCGTGAAGACTCAAAATTCCAAGCACCCATTTTGACTTGCTAGAACCAATTATGGAACTAATGTTATAAACTTTTGTCAACTCATCATTCTGATTTTGCTTCTTTTAATTATTGCTATCTTCCAATTTAGGTCTAACATATTTATCGCTATGCGAGAAAACTCTTTCCTCAGCAAGTGCTAATCTATAATTGTGGTAATCTTGTCTTGACAAATTCACTTCACTTAAAGTTCTCTTTAGTGTTAAGGAATAGAATAACTGAGAATTTTAAACTATCAACTGAGGAAACTGGGTAAAATCTTCTAAAATAACAACAGATTCGATTAAGCTCTTATAAACTTTATCTTAGAGGAGTGGATTGTATCTTTTGACTACTGCTGGCTGCTAATCTGCTTAATGTTCATCTTTCATTTCTTCATTTTCCTATTTAGAAAGCTGCTTGCTCTATTTCATCTACTTAAAGCTTCCGTACTTTTAATTAGAGGTTTTGTATGTGTCATTGAGAAAGTTATCAGTATCGCTTATAGGCAGTGATTAAATAATGCTCAAAGCTGCATCTTTATCAAGAATTAAGACTCCATTTGCTGTGTTGGAGTTTTATGCATCCATTCCTAGTCCAATGATTTATCTGTCTTTTAGCTTCTTCAAGAAATTATCAAGATATGCTCTCTTATGCTCGAAATAAGTTAGCTTATTAATAGTTTGCAGTATGCTCAAGCATGCTTCTGGCCTTACAGACACTCCTGAAATTGAGAAAAATCTTGCTATATGCTTTTCAGATGATATATTATCAGACATTTTTCAAAATTATTGCGGGAATATTTATAAATTACTTCTTTATAGTTAAAAAGATGTTAGTGTATTTCTGGGGTTTTGGGGTTTTGGGGTTTTGGGGTTTTGGGGTTTTGGGG